CCACCCTTCCAGGAGGCGGGCGCCAAAGGCGCCCTCAGTCCTTCTTGGGCACCGCCTTCGGTGCCTTGGACGCACCCTGGGACTTGACGGGGGGCTTCGAAACCTTGGGCTGCTTGGGCTGATGAGGTGGATGCTTGGGGAGCGCGACGGCGCGCTCGGCGTCGAGACGCGCCCGAAATGCTTGCAGCTCCTTCACGTATTCGCCCTGCGCCGACAGCCAGCGAGGATCCACCAGGGGTGAGAACGGGGTCTGGGCCTCGCGCTCCGTGTGACGACTGGTCACGCGACACGGGGGAGGCTCCAGCCCCGTAAGGAACCAGGCGGCCTCGAGATAGCCGCGGTCCCCCGCCAGCTGGTCGATGAACATGCACTGACACGTCAGTAAAGTCTGGACTCTCTCGGGGTTGCCCTCTTCGCAGGCCCGCCACAGCTCGGCGCTGAGGAAGGCGAAATGCGTCAACAACTCGTGCGTCGTCGGCTGAGCCCCCAAGGGACTGTGCTCCCGAAAATACTGATGCATGGCCATGGGGGTCACGGCGCTGACTTCCACGCCCAGGACACGGGCCAAATTCTCCTTCATCAGTCCTCGCACATCGGGGCCGTGCTGTAGCAGCGCTTGCTGCCACTCGCGCCTCCGAGCAATGCCCCCCATCTGGGCCGATGCGGGCGCGGGGTCGCCCGAGCTCGTGGGCGGAATTTGAGCTGAGTCGCTCAGGGTCCCCAGAAGCGGATGGACGGTTGGGCGATGGCCCCGCCCCTGCTGCAATAGGAGGGACTGGTGCAGGCACTGTAGCATGAGGCTGAAGTCCGTCGGATTGGCCGCATGGGGCGGCTCTGACCCGTCGGCGCCGCCCGCCTCGGCAAAGCCGTCGGCCGCAGCGGGATGGGCTAGCCCAGGTGGCGGCGGGGGGCCCATCGCTCCGAAACCGGACGAAGGGGCCCGAGGGACAGCAAGAGAGCGCGCCTTTTCCCACGCCGAGACCAGCGCGGAGGTCGGACCCTTGGGACGCGCGGAGACCCGCTGTGGGGCCACGGGCGCGTGAGACAGGACGGCCTCGATCCCCGCAGGATCCAGCCCGAGGCGCACCGCTTCGTCGCTGAAAAGCTGAGGCACCTCGGGCCGATCGCTCCGGGCAGCCGGCGCGGGGCTCAGCGGCTCGGGTCTGCCGACCATCGTGGAGGCCGCGTGGGCTGCAAGCAAGGCGCGCATTCCGGCAGCTACTTCGGCACGGGTCATAGGAGCCCCGTCGTCCAGAGACGCCGCAGGGGCACCAGGAGCGATCGGAGCGGGACCCGCAACCCGTGGCGGCGCGGCGGTGCCCGCGCGCTTCGCGGGCGGGCCGCGCGGCGCTCCAGCGTCCGCGGGAGATCGCGCACTTGGGGCCGTGCGGTCGGCTTCCCCGTCGGCCGCGAACCCCTCGGGTTCCTCCATCTCGTCGGCAGAGTGATAGGGAGTAGCCCGATCGGCCCCTGGGAGCGGCTCTTCTCCTGCAGTAGGCGGGGCGCCGTGCAAGCGTGCGTAGCCCTCGCGAAGCACCCGAACCCCCGAAGGATGTGGCCAATAGACGCGGCCCCGCACCTCGGCGAAGGGAACGATGACTGCGTCCTCCCCGACCTCTAGAGGGTAAAGCGACTCGAGCTCGAGCTCTGCAACCTCGATGTCTACGACGAGGACGGATGCAGTAGTGGCGAGCGGCCGTGAAGCGGCCCCCTGGAGCTGGACGTCCACTAGCTGGAAAGGGCCTATCATTCCTGCAAAGCCATCCGCCTCGGCAGCCACGAGCTCCGCCGTAGAGCGAAAGGCGCCAGGCAGGGCCAGAAGGATGCCCCCTTCTCGAGACGCGAGGGGGATAGCTGCCCAGCTGGTGTCGCCGTCGTCTAGGCGCCATCGTGCGTAATCGCGAGCCGTGGGAGCCGCGAATGGGTAGAGCTCGGGCCATAGAGGCCCTCCGCCAACTGGTGGCAGCTCAGCCATCAATGGGCGCTGTCGTGGGAACTGCCGCCCGAATGCTGGGCGCCTGCCCGCTCGAGCGCTCGAGGCCGAGGCGGAACCCCGTAAGCCAGCGCTCGCGCCGCACGGCGGTCCTGCTCAGGGGAAGCAGGAACCGCACCGCGCGGCCAGGCGGAGGCCCTGAGCCTCCGCCACACGTACGGGCCCAGCAGCCCGAAGCAGCAGCCTGCGCAGGCGCTGCACGCGGCCGTCACCCAAAGGAGGGCGACGACCGTGCTGAGCAGCCAGGGAGAGACCCCGCCGCTCAGATCCACCGCCAGCCCGAGGCAGACGGTGGGGCAGGCGGAACCCGCCGAAGGGAGGGGGCAGTAAGCCCCCTCACCCTCGGACGAGTCCGCCTGCTGGATGGACCAGGCAGGCGCAGGAGGCCCTTGGTCCTGAAGCACAGAGAGGGGGGCAGACACGAGCCGCTCGTAGAGCGCGGCCCGCAGCCCCCTGAAGAAGATCTCCCCAGCGCCCCCGAGAGCCGCTTGTGCGACCGCCTGCATAAGGCGTCCGCACGCGCGGCCGACGGGGGGGCACTTGGGCAGAGAAGCTGCGGAGACAGCAGGAGCTTGCTCACAGAGAATAGAAGAAGCACCCCCTCCCTCCAACTTCTGGTGGTGGTGGCGGAAACCACGCCCATCGACACAAGCTCGAGCGCCGGCTGCTGTGAGCACAGCACGGGCCCGTCGGCCTCCCGGCGGCCGCCCCGACCCCGCCCCCGGGGCGCGCGCTGCTGGCGGGGGCGTCCGCACAGGGAGAGGGGAGGGCGGCGCTGCCCGAGCCCGAAGAGGTCCCCGCACCGAAGGGCGGCAGCGAAGACGAGGTCGGCATGCAGCGCCCGGGAGGTGGTCGGGCCACCACCCGCCTCCGAGCGCGCGGCCCTCCCGGGCCAGGATCCCCCCCACAGTTTCGCATGGCTTCTGGGTCTCCGTCTGCGCCCCACTTCTCCTCCTCCTCCTCCTCCTCCTCCTCTTCCTCTCCCTCCCTCCTCCTCCTCCTCCTCCTCCTCCTCCTCCTCCTTCCTCCTCCTCCTCCTTCTCCCTCCTCCCCTCCTCCTCCTCCTCCCCCTCCTCCTCCTCCTCTTCTCCCTCCCTCCTCCTCCTCCTCCCCCTCCTCCTCCTCCTCCCGACTCACCCGGGTCAGCAGAAACCCGGGTCGGCCAGGGCCGTGTCGCGAAGCCTGGCCAACCGCCCATAGTCAGTGCCTCCCAGTCCTCGGTCAGCGGAGGGCGGCAAGGGGTAATCGGCCCCCCGTGGCTCCCAAGCCCGGGTCAGCCAGAGTCGGGCCGGGCGAAAGGGGGGGACAGCAAAGGGGGGGATTGAGAATCAGCTCACGTAGCTGATTTTCCCAGCGCCTCCGGCGCCCATGTACCGAGGAATGGGCCCGGCGGCGGGGCCGAAACCAGCTGCATATGCAGCAAATGTTGTACCCCCCCTTTTCCCTGTCCCCCCCTTCCCGACAGAGGGGGCCGGCTTACCCCAAATGGCCTGGATCCGCCGCGGGGGATCTACGATCAATTACGTCGAAGCAGGCACGTGTTTTTCGGGCGTTTGCGAGTAGGCACTTTGCGAGTAGTGGAACGCGCGCTCGGTGATGCCAGGCAGCGCCGGCTTCCCGGCTTCCTGCCCGCCACGGCCGCAGAGGCGGGGCCTCTGCACAGGCCGCGGGCGGCTCGGCGAGCTGTGTGCCGGCGGGAGGGCTCGGCGCTGCTGCCTCTTGGTGCGATCTCGGGGGTCCCCCGAGCGGGAAGTCGGGCCTGTCCCTGTACAGGGGGGATTTTCAAAGATTGTAGAAAAATAGTCGGGGGACGACTTTTTGGAGCACCTGTTTGGCCATTTTGGTGTATTGTTTGACTATTTTTCTACTAGTCGTCCAAAAGTCCCCTGTAGGAGGACGGCCCAAACTTCACCCGAGCGGCGCGGTGACAGGCCGCGCGGCGACCCCGAAAGCACAGGGCCTTCGCAGGGACGGGAGGGGAGCGCGCCTGCCGCTGTCCTGCGCCCGCGCAGCCGCCGTCGGAGGCAAGCGTGGGGACGGAGCGGGGAGAATGCAAGGGCCAGTAGGAGCTGGGACAGGGGGTAAAGGAGTGGAGGGACGGAGCGGGGAGAACGCAGGGGCTAGGAGGGGCTGGGACAGGGGGGTGAAGGAGTGGAGGGACGGAGCGTCCGTCTACCAGACCTCACCGCAGGGTCGGTCACAGAACGGGTTTGGGACCTCGGAGGCCCCAGGTCGCCCGAGACATCCTCAGAGAACGACCCGGAACCCGCGCTGACTCACCACACGGTGTGGTCACCGCACCGTTTGATGGCACCCGATGTGATCATGCCAGTGCGTTCCCAGCCCAAGGGTTGCAACACAAACCCAGAGGTAGAACGACTACACATGCGCTCAGTTTGGATAGTCAAGGTCCAGCGTCATCATGAATTCGCACAGATGAATGACGTATTCGTTAAGTAATCTGCCTTGGCATGCCCCCTACGACCTGGTCCCATTCCAACTGCTCTGCCTAGCCTCTCTCTCGAAAGTTGCATGCGTTGTTGGTGCTCATATCCCTCGATGCCTCTCTGAGGACATCAACTGTCAGGAGTTTGCGCGTGGCGGCCGTTCGCGCCGATCTCGCTGCGCCTGACGTCACCTTCATCTGCTGAACGCAAGCAATAAGACGAAGATGCTTACACGTCGGTCGGAAGAAGTAGGTAAAAACATGAAGTAGGAAGGCGGATTTAGTTGATTGGGTCCAGGCCCCCCAGGGAGTAACAAAACACAGCAAAAGCGTGCCCATTCTTGAAGTAGGAAGGCGCTTGCCAAGAATACACACTTCCAACGACCGGCGTGTACCAAAGAAGTCGGAGCTCAGAGGTACAGAAAACTTCCAATGATCAGGACTCTGGACCTCCACCCTTGCTGGTGCAGTTCCAACGCGGGGCCACGAGTGTCGAGTCTGCCACGGTGGTGCGGGAAGCTGGCTCAAACACTTCCCTGAGGTGGCCATCCCTGCTCCTGCCTGCGTGAAGGGCAGCACCAGCGCTGGCGCCGCGGCCAGCAGCGGCGCTGGTGTCGGCACCGCCTGCCGTGCGAGGAAGACGGGGACGAGAAGAAGGCCCCCACAGGTCCCTGGCGGTCTCCAGAAGTCCCAGATGCGAGGCGGGGAGTTATCCGTATCCACCGCCAGGGACCCCACGGGGCGGTGGACCCCAGGGGGCTGTGGATGGGGACCAATGTTGTCCCCAGGGGACCCGAATCTGTCCATATCCACTGTCGCGCATGGACCCCGAAGAACGACCTCCCCCAGGCGGTAATGATGGATGAGTTCTCGCCTCGGCCCAGAGCGTTCTAAAAGTCTGTGGAAGTCTCCGAATGCTTCCCGCGGCCCCAGAAGGCACAAACGCACCAAGAAAGAAACTCGGGCCTTGAGCCTCGACCAACACATGATAGAGACGAGAATGGTCCTGGTATCTTCCACTACGCGGGCCCCAAAACTGTCGACCGTATTCTTGCTGATCCCTAAGTTAACAGTCCGGGATCCCGAAACCAGCCTCCAGGAACTGGAAATGCCTCTGGGGACAGGAAATAAGGGACGATGATGGCAACCATCGCAAATATTTGTAACCACAAGGCGAACCGTTCTCTCGCGTGGGCACGCATCAAGATAAGCAAGCCTGGAATGGCCATTCCTCGCAAGTGATAGCCGGCTCCGCCCCCAACGGTCCCCTTTCAATTGGCTGCTTGTAGTGTCTGCTTGCGTGACCTGCTCGGCAGCCAGCGCTGGGCCAGGCTCATCCCATGTGGAGGTAGTCCTCCACTTGTGTCCGTGGCGCGTGCCATCGCGCTAGGCACTGTGATCTGAGGAGCAGGATCTGGCCCTCACACTCGCGAGTTTGCAGAGCACGCTCTGCGTCGAGACAGCGCGTACACAACCACATGTGTGACGACTGGAGATAAACGCTTGGCCCTTCGAAGGCTGGCCCCATCAAGACGATATTATGGATCATGGTGAAAAAGAACGCATGAGCGAGAAACGCCCTTCTGTGCACTCCGCCTATCCAGGCTTCCCCCGTTCCAACTTACCTGCCTGGCCCCTCCCTCGCAGACCCACCCGCCTTCGGGGCTTTCCTGTCCCTCGCCGGTCCTGCAAGCTGATCGTTAGATGACATCGTCACGGCTGCATTCTTGGCCGACTCTGCTGCGCCTGAACTGCTCACTTCACAACCGTCAAGACGAAAGCACATCCACAAATGATCTCGAAATCCAGAAAGAAAAAACAAACAAGACGTCATGCTCAATACCCTCGCAGTCCTACCCCGCTGGCGCAGTCGCAAAAAGCGTAGCCAAGACTGCCGAGTCCTCAAACGAACTGTAGACGGATGCCTCAAAGCAGAATTGAAACCCTGCTCCCACCTGCGCAAGGGGCAGTGTCATCACTGGCGCCACCAGTGGCATCGGTGTCGGCACCAGCACCGCCTGCTGTGTGGCCTGTTGAGGCGGAATGCAACGAGGAGGGAAGCGCAGACGTGCAAAGATGAAGAGGAAGGACGACGAGAACGATGTCGTACAGCCCGCTTCCTGCACCATGGTGCCTGCCTGCCTCCTCTTGCCGATGCGCTGGAAGCCGAGGCGGACCGGCAACGGAGCCGATCTCTGCGTGCAGCTGGCGCCTCTGACAGCTTGACAACCCTCCCCCCCCCTCGGTGCGGCAGCAGCACTGAAAACTGCCGCAGTCCCCTCGGGGGTGCAGGCCGTCACAGGACCCGCTCACGAAGCCCACTGGGCCCCCCGGGGCCGCCAAGGTGTTGAGACAGGCGCAGCTCTGTGAGAGCCCGCTCTGCGCAACCGTCAGGCACGCCAGCACTCACTAGCCCGTGCCTGTGTCTCACGGCGGCAGACTGCACCAGGCGGGCAGCATCAAGTCGTCCGTCCCCGTCCATGGAGGTCTCCAGAGGTCTCTGGATCGGAGGTCCCTGGGAGCCCCCGTAGGATCCCTGAACGCCAATACCGTTCTATCGAACAAAACACCTCAATACAACAAAACGAACGCCGCTCCGCGCCAAGGCATTCTCTGGACAGCAAAGCGTCCCAAAATACCAAATCTGAAATTCCTGCAAGCATCACCTCGTTCTTCCTACCTGTCTCCCTCCTTCTTTCTCTCCTCTGAGTTCTTCCCCTTTCCTGGGAGGGGGGGGGGGAGAATAGGAACGAGGTGATTCTGTATGGCTGTACTCCTCCGACCGCTGGGCGGTTGGCCTCAGAGCAGCCCCGCCGGCCGCAGTGAACCAGCGCAGCCTGCTGCACAACCGACCCTCTGGGAGAGGTGGGGCAGGGGAGAGAACGGATTGGATATGAGAAGAGAGAGAACGCAGGGAGAATGCAGCAGGATGCCAATCAGCAGCGAGGCCACAACGCCCCCCCTCGGGGGGCGGCTCTCGATAGCTCTAGGAGGAGGAGGGAGGAGGAAGAGCAAGACTGGGGTAGAGGAGAGGTGTGGATGACAAGGGGAGGAGGGAGGGGGGGAGCAGGAGGACAAGCAAGGGTACGCAGTGGAAGGATGGATTGGCGATCGAGGTGGAGGACGACCCCGACGACGTCACTGGCGCCAGCGCTGGCGATGGCGCCAGCGCCCGCGACAACGCCAGACACCACTGCGCTGGCGCCGACTCGCCTCGCCGACGACGACGCTGGCTCCGATGCGTCGGCGAGGCCGGCGCCGCCGCCAGCGCCGGCGTCCTCCTCCTCCTCGTCATCGCCACCCTCGCCCTCGCACTCCTCGTCCACGTCGGCCTCGTCGCTCTCTGGAGAACCGGGCGTCGCGTATGACTTGCTCGCGCCGCA